ACTAATTACACCCTATAATATAATTTGATTGTGGTGTGTCATATACAAATGAGCAAATTTAAACTCTTACCTTTGATACCAGTAATTGGCCTTATTTAAATCTCTTGTTATTCCAATTCCATTTCTATAACATTCTGCAACTGACGACATTCAACTGGCGTTACCCATATCTGCAGATTTTTGATAACAAATAAATGCTTTATATTCATCCTTTTCAACTCCAATTCGCCCAAAAGTTTTAGAGGCTTCCGGGCATTTAAAAAACTTTCATGATTGGTTATTCAAATTCGATAACATTTTGCAACATTATATACTCAACTAGCGTTATCCATTTCTGCAGATTTTTGATAATAAATGAATGCCTTATGTCCATTCTTTTCAACCACAATTCCATTGATATAACAATCTGCAACATTATATGCTCCACTCTTGTAGGCCATCTCTGCAGATTTTTGATAATAAATGAATGTCATATTCATCTTTTTCAACTCCAATTCCTTCATCGTAGTAATATCCAACATTATATGTTCCATCTGCATCACCCATCTCTGAAGATTTTTGATAATAAGTGAATGCCTTATGTTCATCTTTTTCAACTCCAATTCCTTTGTCATAGCAACATCCAACATTATATGTTCCACTAGCGCCACCCATCTCTGCAGATTTTTGATAATTAATGAATGGCTTATGCTCATCCTTTTCAACTCCAATTCCTTTTTCAAAACAAACACTGACGAAAAATATTCCATAGAAATCTCCCATCTTAGCAGACTGTTGATAATAGTTGAATGCCTTAAGTCCATCCTTTTCAACTAATTTACCATAACGATAGCAGCTTGCAAGAATGCAATGAATTAAAGAATTGGTTTCATCACTTAAGCAAAATTTGACAAGATTAATTGGATTTTGGTTCTTCTTTATTAGAAATTATTCTAATGTATCAAGAATTGAACGAAAATTTTTGCCTTACGATTTTTCTTCATTATAAATATTACACATTTCCTCAACAATTTTATTTAGAAAATCCTGTGAAAAATCCTGTAAACTTTTATCATCTAAATTCAATTGGGTGACATTGTTTCTAGTTGAGTAATATCTGATGAACTTTCGTCTTTTTCTGACTGCTTTACAAATTGGTTGTTGTAATTTGACATTCTGACGCAAGAAAAGTGGGAATAAGGAATAATGGGGTCACGTGTTTGAAAAGCGAACAAACAGGTATACTTGATTAATCATCATCTGATAGTAACTATAAAGAGATAAAAAATAAAGTACTGTAGTGAAAGTCCGATGGTAGGTTTTCCCTTGGCAGCACTCATATATAAAATGTAGTAGCAGTATGTCGAAATTATGAAAAATATAGACATGCCATAATGCCGTAAATCACCCTTAATTTAGGCACACATGTATAGCGATTAGGTATTGATGAATTTCCTGAACTTGATGTAATTTCAATGGGTAAATTTATTTCTTTACAAAATGCTGGTGCTCAACAAAACTTAACCCGACCACTAAATATTACAAATGAAACATCCAACCAAGAAACTGACAAGGTTTAAAAAAAAATGTTGGCTGTCATTGTAATAAACCAATTTGTGAAAGTAGTTGTCTTGTCGTAAGAACAATTCTCTTTGTACTTTTCGTTGCGCCAAGGTACATGCAAAATATAGAGTTTAGCAGTTGTTTAATCTTCAACTTGTGGATTTTAACAATCGTAATGGAAGTAAATACAATTATTAATAAAAATAATTTGATTTGCGTTGCGAAATTTTTTTTTAATATAAAATCATACCGATACCGATTAAAATATGAAGTCTTTAATTTACAATTTCGAAGCTACGTACGTCAATTAAAAATTGACGGAAATTTGAAAGTGACGTCTAACAATACTAGGTACGTTGGGATTTTGTCTTTCGGGATTATGATTTCGGGATTATGATTTCAGGATTATAAATTTTCGGGATTATAAATTTTCGAGATTTTTTTTTTTTCAGGATTTAGTTTTCGGGATATTACCCCTTCGAGATTTTGTTCTTTCGGGATTTGGTGTACCATCGGGATTTCGATGTTCGGGATATTGACCCAAAATCGTGGGCAATATAAGAAATAAGCATCGTTAATGATTAGTGATCATTAATAGATACTTAGCGGAGTTGCGGAGTTTACCCATAGAACATCCTTATCTTCAACAAACAGGTCACTAAAAGGTAAGCCTTGGAACACCCTAACCCTTTTGGGGACCATATTACGCCCGACTAAGAAGTCATCCTTTGGGTGTATGGTGGATTACTCATGTTAACACCAGGCTGGATGTTCTATAGAATAGGTGGGTAAACTCCGCTAAGTATCTATTAATGATTACTAATCATTAACGAGGCTTATTTCTTATATTGCCCACCTATTCTATAGAACATCCAAAGAGGATCCATTTGTTGGGTCAATAATAAGTGAAAGCCTGGTGTTAACATGAGTAATCCTACACCCAAAGGATGACTTCTTAGTCGGGCGTAATATGGTCACCAAAGGGGTTGGGGTGTTTCAGGTCTACCTTTTTTACGTCATCGACCAGGTCAATCCATTTGTTGGGTCAATAATAAGTAAAAGCCTGGTGTTACGTAACATGAATAATCCACCATACACCTGGTCACCAAAGGGGTTGGGGTGTTCCAGGCCTACCTTTTTTTACTGCAAGTCCGGTCTTGCACTTATATGTTACAATATCATATGATAGTGTCATATAATAAATATGACAAATGATATAATATGACATATGATTCTATATCATATAAAATATAATTTTTCAATATGATATATTGTAGTATTCGATTATTTGATGTCCCTACTTAATCACAAGTATTTGACTATCAAATTGTGCCTAACACTATTTTTGTATTTCAAGTACGTATGTGGTAATACAGAAGTTGGTTTTTTCAACTAATGATTTGAATCACTAGTTCGGATTAATCTTATGTACGTACGTACGTACCGTACGTGATTGTTTGTTTTCTAACCAATCAATTAAAAATTAAGAAATGATCTACATTGTCAAAACCCAGTTTTCAAACATCCAACCAAATAGTTACTAATAAAGTCTTTATTGTCAGAATAATTCTTTGTTCATATTCCATATTTCCAGAAAAACTTGGTTTAGACGGCACAGAATGGAATTTGTCTTGAGCCACACAATTTTAATTAAAATACATTTTCTATCAAAGCTTTAACGTAAAATCAAGATCAGCCATTAATTACATCATCTATTAGCACCGATATAGTATATAATTATTTAAAATATCTAAAATGAGACGATTAACAAAAAAACGTGTTATACGTAAATCGAATGACACTTGCAGGCATTTGTTAGCCACACGTACGATAAGAATAAATAAATAAATAGGAACGCCCATCTAAAAAATTATCATCGTGGTCGTCCCTGCTTTAAACAAGACAATGAAAGATTACGTAACACTGATGTGAATATTGTAAGACAAAAAAAAAAAAAAAACCAGGAAATTTGACAATACTTGTATAACCATTAAATTCTTTTGATCATAAATTTCAGGTTAAAAATTTTTCTAAACAAGCCATTTTCACTTGAATATTATCTTAATATGGTTCAGCCTGTATTGCAGCCCAAGGGGATCTCTATGAAATATCGATATTGATGTACCGCAATGTACTTTAATAATAAATATTTTAATAATATTATAATATAACACATTAATGTTAACGTCCGAAAGGGTGTAGATTTTTAGCATCACAGAAAATTTTTTTTTTAAATATTTTTAATAATTAAGATAATTAAGATAATTAAGATATAAATTATATACATACTTACAATTGTTATAACTGTATCATAATCTCTTCTAGGCTTCTTTGAGTTGCGAGAATATATCAGCGATCAGTATTTTGTATATACAGTATCGATATTGATACGGTCCATTATTTTTATTTAAGGGATGCATGCATGATCAATCGATAAGTTTTAGTGTATTAGGATTATGCATTTAACATTTAAATATGTACTATAAATTACATAATTACATAACCTGACGAAATTGTACGTACTATTTCAATGATCTCATAGATCGGTTAATCAGCGATTAGTATCGCCAGAAATGACTGACGGCAAATTAGCCAATAATGAATTGTCAAAAATCGCTTATTTCTCAAAAATTTGCGTAGGAAATCACTTTCTGTGTATTAGCAAAAAATTTTCTTGAGCGATTTTACTATTAAGGTGCTTTAATTCCGAACCCTAACATAGACCCTAACCTAAATGAACTTTTAAGAATTTTCGATTAACACGTGATAGACTGATAATTCACAATAATTTATTCATATCGATTATGATTTAATTTAATTATTATACAATAACGATATACAGATATGCAGATTATAATTTATTACAACCTGTTAGGATTTATTCCGAGAGTGTATAAATTGCTTACTTAAAAATTTGGTTACTTAAAAATTTGTATAATGAAAAAATCTCTGTCAAGAGCTAATCAAATTTGGGAACACATATGGTCGCGCCACAGGGTTTTCAAAAAGATCGCATAAATATGGAATCAACAATTCAAGTTTAAAAAAAATTTATCATCTTTCCTTGTGAAAATGTTGTTTTCATAAATCGACAATGCTTTTTACTTTATTACTTTTATTGTAAGTCTAAACATCATAAAGATGATCAATTTAAAATAATTAATTAAGTGATGGGGTTTTGGGGCAATAACGCATGCTTATTTAAATTTTTTGTATTAGACGTCAAAGAAAATCTCTGGTATCATACTTATTACAGCATTGGATCATCCTTGTTTCATTCACCATGTTTGGTATCTCTTCGAATACATATGAATGGCCGATTATTAATTAACTAATTGAGTGTAGTCTAAAGCACTTTGTTTTTCAGAATATAAAAAGATCAAATTCCTTTTCACACAAAAAATTTTCAATCTTAACCAACTTACCTAAAATCAAACCGATATAAATTAAAAATTAAAATGCTCACGACACAAGAAAATCCATCTCCAAATGTACAACCTAAATTGGTAAAAAAGGATGTATCCAATGGATCCAATGGATCAGACGCTTGGTGGGCCAACGGCGCTTTCGTTATTGTCGTGCATTTAATATCTGCGGTTTCACTCATTACTTATACACCGCCGACAAAGACGCTATGGTTGACTTTGATCCTGTTTCAATTAGGAACTTTTGGGTTTTTATCATTTTGCTTTTTATTTTTAAAATGAACTTATATCATCATTTGTTATATTATGAAGGCATTTCCCCGACAGTTATTTTCCCGATATTTAATTCTAACCAACATTAACTCTAGATCAGGGTGATCCTAACTAGAGATGCAGGCGAATCGTCCCAATGATTGCCGTAACTAGTTACAACATAAGCTTTAGCTAGTTACGTAACATCATTGGGACATCATTGGGATGATTCGCCTGCACCTCTAATCCTAACTCTAAATCGGACTAACCTTAACTGTCGGAGAAATGTGATTCACTGTTTTAGGAAAGTTTATTAAACGTACAAATTATTATATGTAGCATAACTGTAGGTTATCATCGGCTATGGAGTCATAGAACATATACTGCTCGTTTTCCATTTCGTCTTGCTCTTGCACTAGTGGGCACTCTTGCTTTCCAAGGTTCAATCAAATGGTGGGTCCTTAGACACAGATTACATCACAGGTGAGAACTTACCGCCAAGAATAAATATCTTTAAGATACGATTCGATACGATATTTATTCATTTTATATTTCTTTTTAGATTCACAGATACAGACCATGATCCTTACTCTGCCGCTAAAGGTTTCTGGTTTTCCCATATGGGTTGGATTTTTAAAAGGCCGTATTATCCACGATTAAAATTTATCGATGCTTCGGACTTGAATGCCGATCCAGTTGTCGTGTTCCAACATAAACATTACGTACTATTGGCTTTTACTACCGGCTTAATCCTTCCGACTTGTATTGCTGCACTTTGGGGTGACGCTCTTGGTGGATTCTTGTACGCTGGACTTCTCGGTCGTGTTATAATTTGGCATTGTACTTTCTGTATAAATAGCTTTGCTCATTGGACTGGCGATCAACTTTATTCTAATGAGGTTTCAGCACGTGGCAATTTATTACTGGCTATAATGACTAATGGGGAAGGCTATCATAACTTTGTAAGATAATTTTATTTTTTATTCGCTTGAATTTAATATAAATGTCTTATCATGTAATATTATCTCTTTAGCACCATGAATTTCCTAAAGATTATCGCAATGGTTACGGATTATTCGATTATGATCCTAGTAAATGGTTAATCTGGCTCTTTCATACTTGCACCAATCAAATTCCATTCGTCTACAGAGTACCTGATAATGAAGTTCGAAAAGCTCGTTCGAACATGAAGTTGCTTGAAGCTCAACGAGAACGTGGAGAATGCGACTGGGGTATTGATCCAAAAACGCTTCCAACTATGTCTTATGAAGAATTTCAAGAAAAAGTAAAAAATGAAGGAAAACAATGGTTATTAATTGATGAATTTGTGTTAAATGTTGAAACCTTTAAACCTTCACATCCTGGTGGGTCTAAAATATTGGAAGCCTATTATGGAAAGGATTCTACAAGGGCCTTTCATGGTGGGTTAAATATTCATACAAAGGCTGCGAAAACTATGATGAATATGTTTAGGGTTGCCAGGATTGAAAAAAGAGAACCCGAGTCGTAATTTTCTCATTTTTGTTACATACATAAAAAATTTTTTCTAAAGTCGATAGTTATTTCAGTAAATTATTGACTAATCAATCACGCTTATTAACATGTTCGCTTCGTGATGATGCAATTATCTTTTTCACTCTTTCTTTTCTGTTTTTTATTCTTAAATCAATTATCCTTGGAGGAGCGTTCATGCTGTTAATATTCTTTCTATAAATTCAAATATGTTAATATTATTTCTATTTAATTAAAAGATTACAGGCACAGTCAATTACTCTTGATGAGTTTCTTTAGATGATTTGATTGGTCAATAATCACACGAACATTAATATTTTAATAAATATATCGATATATAACGATTATATACTTTTTCATGACACATCAAAGCTGCATAAAATGATTTATTTGTATATAGCCAAATTTGGACTAGTAACGATTAAGTATCGAAATAAATAAATTAAACTCGTACAACGCAGATCGATATCCTGAACAGGAAACTACACTAATAGATCGTAATAAAAATACTCGAGGAATTCGTGTCTCTAAATAAATATTAATTTCTTAATCATTTTCATTCTTTAAAATCAAATGATCGAATATTCTCATTTAAAAGTAGTAACTTACATAACGTAATTAATAAATTAAAATAGATTACAGTATTTTTTTTTCATTTGACTTGTCTTTATATTATTTCATGCTTTTTTGCGGTGCATTTTCTTTCTTATGTTATCGGCAGGAATGATTACATTATTATAAAAATATTTCTAGCAATCACACTAAGATGAGATGAATAAGCACTTTTATTATCCTTGAACATAAAGTATATTTTAATGATTATTTTTTAGTTAATTTCTTTTTTTTTAAAGATGCCGTTACGTTTAAATGATGTCCAGTCCTTAATTGGATTGGAACTGTTCTATTGGGTGTTGGCTTACGCTGGGGTTTATCCTGCTTTTGTTGCAACGCCATTTTAGCCTACATGACCAGAGGGTGTTTATGTTAATATAAACGAATAAATAGAAAAAAATTTACAGACGAATTTAACCTACATTATGTACAGCATTCGAAGTCAAGTCTCTAAGTAATAGTTCTGTTTCCCTTGTTCTTGGATGCTCGGCTCCGAACTAGAAAGATAAAATGCGGTTAGATCAAATAATTTCATTTAGTAATTCAGATTCGGATCCATTAATTACCACAGCATGGAAAATGTGATACGCTGACTTCTCGGCAATCAATGCAGCTTTGTAATCCTCCGCATATGCAAGAGCTTTGGCAAGAAGATGATACCTAGCCAGTAAAAAGTACACAACTTAACTCTGATTTGAATATTAAAAAACATTTATTATATATATATATTATTTAATCTTACGATTCTCCAGTTACGACGTTATTTTTTCCAAAAACAAATTCATTTGTATTCTTTGCTCGCTCAAAGAATTTTATGCTACCTTCGTAGTCTTTCATGTTTTGAAGCATAATTCCGACGTTATGCTATAATCAATAATAAAGACGATAAGCAACCATTTAAATCCGTTATGTTTGAAAGTTTCCACATTTACTTACATCTGCTGTAGCACCATCAGGATGCAAATCCCCAAAGATGATCTCCCAATAATACATAGCATGCCGCATATATTTGAGACCTAATTCGGTGTGGCCAATAGCATTTTCAAAAAGACCAAGATGTAGCTGCAAGTTTATAAATACAAGATTAAAATGTCTCATTGTTCACTATTACTGCATTAAGGTGTGTTTTTTTTTGTTTGACTTACATAACCATGAATAGCATCCACACTATCAACACCACAAGTTCTTTCAAGAACAATAACTGCTTTTTTCTGGAAGTCAATAGCAATTTCCAAGTCCTCATTGTGGTAAAAGCACATAGCCAACGCTGAGTAACACCTTGCTGTTGCCGGATGTAGAAAACCATAACTTTGCTCATGTAATGCAAGTGATTGTAACATGAGATCCACACCAAGATCTCTACTACCTAATGTATATATGTCAGATATCTAATATAGAACAAATATCGAGAAAATTTGGCAACTATAAATTGATCATACCCTGTGCTATACTAAGTTTTCCAGTTTCAAAAGTTTCTTCGGCAAAAGCACACTGCATTTATAACAATATGCATTAATAACTATAATAAAGAAAAATAAATAATCAAAGGCCGCCTAATTTTACTTTGGGTGTTGCTTGCTTGATCGTTGGAATAAGATTCAATATATCATCAGGTATAAAAGTAGTAACTCTCTTTTTGGATTTCTTTTTCAAAAAATGATACCCTTGAACTGTAATTTGCACACCAATTCGTAGACATATCTCTCTAAGCATCGGTAATTTACGAACGTGAGCATTAATGAAATCTTCGGGAAGTCGATAACGGTAACGTATAAGTACCGTTTCGCAAATTTGTCGACAAAGTGATGATGGTGTAAGGGTAAGATAATCGTATCGAAGATTTTTAGTATCATTAACGGAGTCTGGTACCAAAGGCTGGGGATTCATATTAAAATCTGTGCCCAATAAGCAATTCAAGAAATGAGAAATACAATATGGGATGTATGTATTCGTTATTTGGCGAAGAAGACTACGGAGAATACGCTTTGACGCTCTAATTATCATTTCATGTATAACCAAATGCTATAAATTAAATGTGAACAAATTAGCTTTATGTGATTAAAGGACAGCATTATCACGTAATTAGATTCATCAGGCCATTTCGTGGTGACCTTTGAATACATGACAATTACATAATAATTACCTTTATATGATCTAATTTGTGATCCTGAGATTCATTAATAATATTTGCAATCATTCCCAAATACCGCATATTGATTCCCCGGCGGTGCATCGTTGTAGTAAGAGATATCCCGTCAACAGGAGATACAGCTAAAGTAGTAAATTCTATAATCTATAATATATATAAATATCAAATACAATAAAGAGAGAGTTTCATGCCAAGTGCTACATATCAATAAGTACACACCAACATCCGAATAACAGTATCTCTTAAATATTTTGACGCATTTCGCACATTTTCTTCATCTGCAGCTTTGCATGCGGCATGCTCCTCTCCTATCGGAATATTAAAATTTGTAAACGCATCTGGATTAAAAGCCAAATTAAACTCATCATTTTCCGAGATCACAGCTTCCTTAGTCGAATCTCCAGCCTCCTTCAATGTGAATGAAATTAATTAATTTTCATATAATACATTAAAAGAAACGAAACAGAAGTATGTTAACGTTAAATATCAGGGTTATATATACTTTTTCTTTGTTGGCCTTATCCTGCAACCATAGACGAAATCTATAATCCCAATATGATTCTATCAATTCTGGCCTAAGCAGCACTAGTCTGTGAGGATATGGGGGGATATCACTCTCTTCTTTAGGCTCACATTCTTTCTCTATAAATTCTATATCGACCGGGTTGAGACGATATAAATCAAACAAATACCGCCGTCCGTCATCACCCATCAAGCCCTAAAGATAATATATTTAAATGAAAGAAAATTTAGATGGATAAGTTTTCAATAATTGTTACAGCTGATGCTAAAACTTTTCATGTAAAATTTATTAAACTAAACTAGCTTATAATAAATTATGAATCTGACCAGTTAAAAATAATAATAATAAAAGATCGACTAATTTTAACATCAGCCATTACAATATCTAACCAAATATTAAATATATCAATATCAAACCTTTGTTTCTAAAGAAGTGTAAAGTTTCACAGTTGTCCCTTTTGTGTCACAAACGCTGAATTTATGATCAGAGTATATTTAAAATATAATTTACTTATAATAAAGAAAATTTCAAATCGAAATAGTACCTGTGCTCTGCAAGATGAAGCGCCTTTGCAGCCTTCCCCACTACTTCGTGGAATTCCGGATTAGCACATAATTTTGGATCATCACGTCCATTGTCAAAATAACCGTATACAATAGAAGAATCATCTTGACGCCTGAAGATTCCTAGATAAATAGCAGAAAGTGTGAAATTTTCGAATATATACAAGAATGAAGCAAGAATAAATAAAATTGCAAACCTGGTACAATAGTTTGTGCAACTATGCGAACACCCTTATAATCTATAACAACACAACCAAGTGTGTATAACCCCTCTATGTCAATAGAATTCACAATTCGTATTCCTTCCATGTCTTTTCCGGTGGCTACATGCGCAGCGTCGTTCCCACCAAGTTTTGAGAATGTACCTCTCGTGTCAAATGCTTTACTGAAAAAAATGTTGTTGTATACGTACATGTGTTCATCTTCAGGGTCACGAGGATTAAAAGGAATGACATTGCCATTAATAACAGCGATGGCACCCTTGACTGCGCTTTCAGTGAAATCAGCTTGAATCTTATTAATGAGTCTTTCGCGTAACACCCGATCTCTTAACTCAACCCGTGGGTATTCTCGTTGAGATTGAAATTCATCATTCCAGTCTCGAAGCGAGTCAACGGCGTCCATGCCGAAATTCAAATATATCTCAGTTGCACGACCCATATCATAAGTATGTTTAGATTGCCTAGCAATCCATGGATAGGCAGGAAAACAAGTGTTAACAGGTATGGTCTCGAATGGATGATGAGCACCAATAAAGTCTTGCAAGATTTTAAAATTAGTACGAAATGAAGGAGAAAGCCCTTGAAGAAGTGTAATGAGAGAATGTGCATGATATATTTGAAGTTCTGTCCGAGGATTGAAATCAAAATTTTTTATAGTCGATCTATTCACAAAAAATCCATCCACCCCTGCTGTGATATGTAATGTTTCACCCTCGATAGTTGATACAATCAAGTAAAGTAGATCACCTATCATTATAAGTAGCATTTAAATGGAGTGAAGACCTAATTGCGATCACATATTATTAAAAGTGATTATTACCTCGCCGACGACGCTCAAACGGTACAGGGTTCCATCCAGAAAGGTATAATGATTCAACACACTTAATTTTATGTCGACCAAAGTTATCTGGGATAAATTTTGATAGAGATGGAGCTGTAAAGTCATAATCAGTAAAGGGTGTTTTTGGACCTTCACTATCTTCTTTAGATTTGCCATTTTCTTCGGATTGTTCATTATTTGTTTTAACTGCATGAAAGTAATTATATTTTTAGAAAATGATCATTGGTATGGACACTTAGTAAAACAAAGTTTATTTTAATTAAACAAGTTTATAATATACCATTTATGCCAGTGACTGCTGTAAAAAATGATAATCCTGGGTCTATTCCAACAGATGATGCAACTTGTTTGAATGGTCCAGCAAGCAAATCGCGCACATGGATAACGTGAATACGAGCTTCACGTTCAGTATAGGGTTCTGTGTTTGGATAGACAAATTAACATGAAAATGCTTATAGTAGAATATGGATAAAGATAAATATACACGCCTTCAACAAGATCCAAATCACAATCTTGAGTGATGCCTTCTTCTTGAAGTTCCTTATAGTCATCGAGGCGTCTACCATTTAAACACAGAGAGAAACAAGTATAGATGCATGTTTCTGGTGAATCAATTAGCCATTGCTTAACCTCTTGTACAAGTTCACTAGCATTTGCCTGGATAAGATTAATAATATGCATTAACTTTTGATTGATAAAAACATAAGAAATGAAAAACTTTGCTAAGTTTACCATGACATATGTCTTGCCAGGAAAATGTGGAAAATTGATCGCTAAAGTAAAGTTCGGCTCTTCTGCCTCAACAATTGTATCTTCCACTACATTTTCAACAAGTTTTCCCTCATTTTTTGTAGTTTCTGGAGTTACTAAAGTTTCTGTTGCCATCATACGAAATTAAACTCTGCGATCGCAAAGATAAAAAACTAAAAAAAATTTCGAATTTATAAATTTCTGATCTTCAATCAATCTTATCGTTATCGTTATCTAATTTGGAAATAAAGATCAGGCAATTTACCTAAGATAGATCCTGTAAATTCAATATAATAATAAATGCTATAAGATATAGTATATAGTGTAAGGTAAACGGATGATTTATACGAATCCAATTATTCGAATATCTCCGATTTATTATTTCTATCATAATGCTCCTTACTATTTTGAACGAAGACATGCATCTCGGGTTTTAGCGATCGGATTGTGATTTTCTTACCGTTAAACTCTTAGTGTAATGATGCAAAAATCACCATTACTGAATCCCGAGATACTGTGACGATAATCTATGCAAAAAAAAAGTCTAATTTTATTATATATTTTTAAATAATTTTAATTACTATATAATTCAATTGACTATTGTAATTAATACTGTATCAATTTTTAGTAAAAATTTTATAAAAATTGTTAAATACACTATATTATACAGTATACAGTATATAATACTGTATATACAGTATTTAAAAAAGTATTATATTTTAAAAAAAAATAAATAAAATTTTAATAATTATTTGAATTACATTTTTTCAAGATACTAATTAATCTACAAAAAATAACTAAACACAAACAAAACTAAACTATACATATAAAAATTAAAAAAAAAAACTATAAAAACAAGATAAAAACATACTATACATACTGTATATTCAGTGTTGGCAATTAGAACAATAGAATAAAAGCCTAATTTTTTGTCTTTATATAAAAAAATTTTTTTTTATTAATAATTTGCAATTATTTAATACATATTGTTAGACTATTAGTAAAATAATATTTTTGGATTTAATTAGTAAAATTTAATACTGAAAATTTACAATAAAAAAAATAAAAAAAGTAAATAGAATTAGGAGCCAATAAAACAAACATAGTAAATATGACAACTCTGTATATATTATACTGTAATATTTTACTAATACTTATATCTGTGATTAGATTAGGTGTAACTTTGCCTTGGTTAAGTAGTAAAATAGTAAGTTAATAATATAAATATTATTACATAGCTTCTAAATATTTGCTTATAGCTTTTATTGATATTTTTATAGCTTATATTCTCATAGCTAATACTGTATTCCCATACCTGATATTTTCACAGCTAATATTTTTACAGCTAATATTTTTATAGCTAATATTTTTACAACTAATATTTTTATAGCTGATAATTTTAAACTTTTTTTAAAATTCTCATATGATAACTATAGCTTTTTAATTTTATTAATATTTAGGAAAAATTTTTAAAATTTTAAATTGTTTATTAATTTATATCTTTAATCAGTTATATTTATGTTTATTTAATAAAGATGCAAATTTTAATTTATATTAATTATGCAAATAATATTTCTAATTTGTATATCAAATAAATAATAAAAATACTATTTTGAATATAAAAAGCAATATTTGAGAAAGAGATATGGTGACTTCTTCAAGTGGCAGATCTAGAGTTCAAATACCACGGATAACGATTTTGAAAAATAGATTTGTGTTATGGTTAATAGTTGTTGATTATTGGTTGGATCTAAAACTAATCTGTAATCTTGGTCACACCATCTAGTAATAGAAGCTTTGGCACAATAAATCCGAGAAATCAGAATAACTGAAAACCTATTTGGCAAGTTTTGAGTTGGAATGTAGCAATGATCTTTGATGGTACTACAGAAGAGCTGAATTTGAACTGGGGCCTGAGATCAGAGAACTAAGCGATCAGGTCCTTAAGTGAGAGACATACTAGCTGAACCACCGGGCTGACACACTAGAGAAAAAAGGTATATACTTCGAAAGTATGGATCAAGGAAAGGGTATTCTTCAGATACTTAAAGCCTGGGCAGACCAACCCATCTAGGTTGCTGGCTGAAAGTAAGAAAGAGACCAATAGAGAATTCAGGTAAAGAAATGGTTTCAAATATGAGTACTAGGGTTGTATATCAGAATCCCAACATACAGAATCCTGACATACAAAATCCTGACAACAAAATCCCAATACACAAAATCGATAAATTAAAATTCTAATTTTAATATCTTTAGAATTTTAATTTGTCGGGATTTTGTTTATCAGGATTTTGTTTATTGGGATTTTGTTGTTAGGATTTTGTGTGTTGGGATTTTGTATATTGAAATTCTGATATACAACTGGTATTGGGGTTGTTGAGAACCTTACAAGAGCAGTGAGTATATAATGGGCGACTAATTAGGAAGATTGTGCTTTAGTTACAGATCAGATTATGGCAGCACCCCAAAAGTTAACTTGAAATACGAATCCAGTGGTGGCAATACAATATGTACTAGTTAGATAAAAAGTTACCGAACATGCAGGTGAATACATGTGTAGAACATGGACCACTTTGTTTGATTTACCTTGTAGATAAACTAGCTTTAGATGGTTAGTAAGTTCTAAGGTAGATGCGAAATCTACAGGTATTACAAAAGCTACTACCGAATAGTGAGTTACACTTTAATTAAGTAGAAGGTAACCGACAGTTAGAACCAGAGCGTTTAAATGGGTACCTTCTAGTCAGGATGCAGATATAGCAGATAGTATAGAATCTTCGGGTGAACTACTTAAATTAGGTACTCAAAAGATGCATGTGTAGCTTAATATACCTTTGTTGTAATTGTATAATATTATCTTTACTTAATAAAAAGTTCCTAGCCAGAAAAGTCACCTTAATACTAAAAAAAAAAAAAAAAAAAAAGTAATATTTGAAAAAGTACAATTATTAAATATATATGTTTTGAAAATATCTATAAGTACTTTCTTAAAATAAAGCTTAAAATTCTGAATTGCTATTAGATATACTATACTTTTTTTTTTTTTTAAACAATCTTGCTTTTATTTATATATACATCAGCAAATTATATAAACGTAATCTTACGTAAGATATTACAGCCCGTAATATTGCGCAAGAATTACGGTCTGGACATAATATTGCGCAATTTATTACATAATATTACGCAATTTATTA